TCCGCCCCCTGGACATGCTTTTTAGGTCACTTACTATTAAATGTACCTACCCAAGCCTCCCCCGTCAACATACTCACAAACAAGCTAGAACCCTGAATGACACATACAGTAAAAAGTAAACTCAATATGGATGCAGTGAGAATTATAATAACCAGCTCTCTTTTGTTTATTTTATAATAAATTGTACCTTAAAAACACATTTTCTTAATGTAATAGTAATTAGTTTAACAAGAGAAAATTTTGTTTAAAACAAGTAGCTAAGTAAAGGGGGACAGAGAGAGATATCTGGGATCTGGTAAACAATTTAATAGGCAGGACCACAAGTTTTAATAATAAAAGTTCAATAAAGGCTCTATTCCCTGTGAAGTTAAAGAAAGAAGCTATTAGCACTTAAAAAGAAAGAATCACTATGTTTTTCAAAATATCATTTGTTCTCTATTAGGAAGGAATATTAAATACATATATGTGTGTATATGTATATTTTTAATCTTTTTCATCTTACTATTTAACACATTCTGGAGAGCAAATAAGGAACAAAGCATATATGATACATTGCATATTGGATTGATTCTGTTCCTGTCTCTGCCATTGGTAAGTTGTAGAACCTTCTGGAAATAATTTGCATCTCTGTGACTATTTTCCCAGATGTGAAAGTATCAAGTATCAATGGATGGTGTTTTTATATTTTTTTATTTGCTGACATGCTCAAATATTAAATATTCTGAAGTATTTTAAAAATCACTTATTATCATCTGTTGTGTCAATAAACTACTTCCTAGGAACTAGAACTAAATTAGGCACTTTGAAGACTTATTTATGTTTTACAAAGTATTAAAACTTCATACGGTAATTTTTTGTAAAGTAAATTCATGAGAAGATTCTTATCTGTCACAAAGCACCAATAAAATTATTGTCTACAAAAGGCAGAGTAAAATAGAGTTCTCATGTAATTAACAGATAATTATCATATTATCTGGATAGTAGTCCCGTAATGTGCTGTGAAAAAGTGGCATGATAAACTATTTTACCAAGTAAAATTAAAGAGGAGTTTGCGTCAACTCTCAGTTTTGAACTTTAGTTTGACTTCTTACCAATTTCTTCTTTCTTTTAAAAATTAAGCATTTTGTCAGTGGCTATCATATGTCAGTTACACTCTTCTATCCTGACAATAGTACCAAAGGATTTTGTGGAAACCTTGCCGGATCTTAAAAAATTAGAATTCTGTTTTACCTTTTGGACCTGGAAGGTAATTTCTGAAGATGTTACATTTGGTTTAATATAATCTTAGCTAGAAATAAAACCTAGTTTTGCCTCCTGAAATCTCTCTTCTCCATCACCAGGGAAAAACAGCTCTCTGACCATTAATTTCTAAGCAAAGAACTAAGTCTACAATTCAAACCCCTCACACTTCGTTTGATTTGAAAATCAAATCCATACTTTTTCTGAAAGATCTTACATTAGAATTTTTATGAATTTAACTCTTATTATATGTTAATATCTTTAATATATTACTTTATTTTTCTACACATTTGTTTATTACTATTTTAGCAGTAAACAAAAAATATGGTAAGTGTAGAAAACATGGAACTAAACATGTTCCATGTTGAGGCTATTGTATCAGGAAACTACTAAAAGAGTTTCCAGATATCCTCTTGAGAGGTGCAATCTGAAAAAGAAGCTAGAAGTATAATCCACCACTGACAATGACAAAGAAGAGAAGGCTAACTTCAGTCAACTCAGGCTAAAAACATAACTTCTTGAAAATGTATATGATAAGCCAAACAGCATCAGAAATCATAAGTGAAAAGGTCTCTCAAACATAATTCCTATACAATTTTAACTTTATTAAAAAATCACTGATTTTTAATTTTTATAAGGTTTGTCTTATTAAAGGACAGGAAGAGATCTGATATTTTAAATTCCATGATGTCAACCAATCTCTAATAAAGAATTTTATCTTCCACATAGAGTATACACTTCTAGTACAAGGTATATTTGTATTCTGAGTGCTGCTAAATGCTCCAAGTTAAAGATTGCACAGGATAATAAAAATTATCCTAACACACACAAATTCATTGAAAAATAGAATACTTCTAAAATGCTCCCATCCAACTGTATCTGCCCACTTCAATGTTGATATTTCAGCCCAAGAACTCAATATTGTAAAATTCTGACAATTCAATATTAATTATAATAAAATGAAGTTACAATTACCAAAACAAAAGCATTTCAATCAGGTAATCAAATTAATATTGATAAACTTAAAATTATACTCAACACCATCAACAAATGTGAAATTGTTCAAATTAGACTACTAAATGTATGTAAAAAGAAAGTATAAATGATGATCAAATAGGTGATTAAAACAATATTTTGGATATCAAAGATTCATAAAGATTTTTTACAAAAATAAATGTCAAAAAAAGCTTTTTGCAAAAATTGCATTTGAAATGAAGCATGTCACAAAATACTATCATATATTCACAAGATGAAGCAAAAAATTCATTTTTGTAAACATAACCTAATTTTCTACATAAAAGTGAAATTAAATTATTTTAATAAATATCTTGGCCCTTTAAGAAAAGTCCCAATTTTTTCCTATTCTTCCTGGTGCAATTTTGGCCATTTTTCAAACTAGAGCCTAAAGCAGCACCCTTTTACCTATGCCAGTTTATCCTAAATAACAAAAACCTTCTATATTATTTCTTATCCCATTTCACTTTTTATAAGAGTCTAGAAGTAATCAGGTCCCATGCAGAATATGAAACAAAATCTAATTATGCTAAGTACTGGGCACCAAAAACCCACATTAACTTCACTCCTTTAGTGCTTATCTCCCACTAATGGATAAATATTCTGGATGAGGTTGAAAAATAACATGTCCTTTTGAGTGACTACTGAATGACAAGCTAACCGAAAACCCCACAAAGAGTTTTCTGTAACTTGACAGTAAAAGAGAAACAATTTGGGGCTTCATCAATATTATAGGCCTGGCATCAATTTTCAGGACTTAGAACACCCAACATTGTTTTGTTTATCCAGAACTCTAGTACTGGATATTTGTTCTTGTTGAGTGAAATATGACATTGCAAATGACAACCTTAACTAGATATATAGACAACCTTAACTAGATATATAGAAAAAACTTTCAAACTCCTAAAACACTATCACTTTGCAGCTGGCTGATTTGTGCTAATTCCTCCTCTCTTCAGATGAACTAAAATTGGAAGCTGATAAACCTTAACATAGAAAAAAGCACTATTATACTATATCTCAGTCAAAACAAAATAGGTCTTTCAACACTTAAAATACATGTATTTGACAACTATAGAACCATATAGCTCTAAAGTAAAAAAATGGAAACATGTTTCCAGGATTTTGATGTCACCTTGGACTATATGTTCTGCTAAATAAAACCTGTATGTTCAAGAAAGGAAATCAATAGATTGCTTCACTTTGACAAATTTTTTCTCAAAATTTAAAATATCCTAACAAAATCTTATTTTTGACAAACTGCTGTGGTAGGGTCTTTTTTAAATCTTGGTTTCATTGCCAGTAAAGTAATTCAGGCAAACCAAAGTAGAGACAGCATAGCTTCTGAATAGCCTGGTGTGTGTACACAATCTATCCAATCACACACGTATACACTTACGTTTGCATGGTGTTCTCACTTAGAGACACACACTATACACATATATTTGTATGTATATTTTCCCACATACTAATCACAAACCATCTCTCCAGATATCCAGATTCAAATTTGTCTTTTGTTGTACAATTACAATATTTTCCACAAACCAATTATTTCAGCAGTATTTGAAAGCTTCTGACAAATTTTAAGTCAAAGGAAAACTGAAATGGCCTTCTGTAGTATCAGAAGGAAAAAGGATGAGACATTTATACAAACATTTAACAAAACAATTAAAAATGAGGACACTGTTCATTTGCCTCTCAATCTAAGAAGCAACCATTATCTTTTCCACCTTTTCCAGTGACTTGTCCCATACTAAGGACACAGATACCAGACATGTTTTACTGACCTTTGATTATTAAGTTTAATAATAACCTTATGCCATGAGAAAATCATCAGTGAATAAATATTAATTGTAGAGTGACAATCTCCCAATTTAAAATAACATTTTAATGCTTAGAATCTATAAAACATATGGTGGCTACCAGAAGGAGGAGGAGCATGGAAGAAACGGGAAGGGTAGGGGAGTCAATTTCATAGCAGCATGGCATTAGTGTTTTGGGGTGGATGCTGTGAGACATATAACCAAATACTACAAGTCAGGAAAATAGTCCTCCAATTGCTAATTTGCCTCTATTTGTTCAGTCTAGAATTACATGTTTGAAATACAAATTATCTTTACTCTTCATTAATCACCTTGTCTAACAAGAATTAACTTCTCGCTTGGTGGGACAGTCTTGAAATTTAGTAATTTTCCAGTTGCTGAGTACTTTTCTGAATTTCTTGTTCCCAACCACTTCTAACAGCAAAATACTTCAGATTATAGTCTATTTCTCGTTTAGTTTGGCTGGCCTGGATTTGTCACTTCCTGGTTTTGTTACTGGTTTTCCTTTCTGCTGTGCAGTTTTATAGTCCAATAAAGTAAATTCTAGTCTAAATTTCTAGTCTTTCACACAAACATTTCTCCAAACTCTTAATAGTCCACTCTTCAAGGAATTCTCCTTAATCGGGTACTTGCCCTACTTCTGTTGCACATGGAGCAGAAATAATGAAGCAACCCTTAAAGTCAATTTTCATTCGTTTGACTTCTGTCTATTTTAAACTTCTGTATTTCTTCTTTAATGGCATCCTGGTAATACACTATATATAAAGTTCTTTCACATTACCAAATCAACTAGAAAACTCACAATATACTTTAAAATTGATTGTTGTTATCCAAACTTGTTGGCTCATCTAAATGACTGCAAAAATCAGGGCAAATTGGCGGGGGGGGGGTGGGGGGGGGAGGAATCTGCATTAATTTACTTACTGATATAACAACAACAGGATATAAACTTGAAAGATTATCCTTTTCCAGCATATTCAATAATTTCTGGGTTTCTTGGAAATCAGAGGTCAATGCCTGAAAGGTGAGAAAAATGAAAGTAAAAGAAAGTTCTTAAATGATTTAAAAGTCAATTTAAGGGCAAAATGGAGAGATTTTACCTAAATAATAAAAATAATTATCCAGCTTAATTTTTAATTTTCAAATATTTTTTAAATAATCATAATATTAAAAATTAAATGATTCATTAATTCAAACCTGTGTCATCTACACCAGTTATAAAATAAAAAAACTAAAATATTGTCTAGAGAAATATCAACCTCTTTTCATAGGAATTAACAAATTAGAACATGTTTACTTCCCTATTCAAAAGACAAAATAAAATTTCCAAATAAATTTTAACAACTCATTATCAAAATCTTAAATTCAGGGCCTCCCCTGGTGGCTCAGTGGTTGAGCGCTGGGCTGCAAAGCTGCCCGCTGCCTCTGCAGCGCTGGTTTGATCCCTGGCCACCAGCAAGGGTCCCACATGGCGTGCAGAACTCTCCTGCCACCCGCTGCTCTCCTCAGCAGTGTATTTCATCAGTCTGCCTGTTCTGTTCCCCGCTCTGGTTCTGGTGAATTCTCTCACCCTCCCACGCTTCTTACTGTACCCCAGTGCTTGTATAATAAATAAAATAAATAAATCTTTAAAAAAAATCTTAAATTCAAATATTTAAAAATAAAGAAAAATAAGTTCTTGTTCATATTACATTTATGCAGATGCACAAGTGCTTTCTGTCATTTGTATTTACTACTTACGTTTACACAAACAAAACTGTAGCATTGCTGTAAGATGATTGGCTGAAGATCTCTACCAACATGACACAGAGCCTCAGATGTGACTTTTACATGCTAGGAGAACAAAATTAAAGGAAAAGAGTTTTTACCATCTAAAAAGATAAACCAAACATGAACATAAACAACTTTGTTGCAAATGAGCACTAAATTGGTATAGGCACATAAAACCAAGGACCATATATGAAAACAAAATAATTTAGGCTGAAGTTTATGAGGTTACCAAAAAAAAAAAAAAAAAAGACATTTGAAGTAGTCCATGCATAATGACTATTATTCTAGTAAATAAAGGCATAGGAAATTGATTCAGATAAGGAAAAAATAAAGTAGATATATTCAGAAACAGTTTTTCTTAAAGAACATATTGCAGAGAATGCTGAAAATAAAAAAAAAAAAGTTGATTAACTAGGGATTATTAGAGCATTCGAGAATCATATTAAAAACCAGTTACAAAGACCAGATTTAACTAAACCTGGAATGACTACAAACATGAGAGAGAAATAAATCTTGAATCAAGGCAATGATAATGAAAGATAAAGAGATTATTCTAAGAGGGGTTTTCTTTTTATGCATTAAAGGAGGAAAGTTTTATGCATTACCTTCACTCTAACACTTTACCTGGTTGCTATTATTATTTTTAAGTATTTCAAGTAATTATTTTATTTGCTATCCTAGATTTTGGGGTTGCCTTAATGGAAGATTGGATGGTTTAAACAGCAAACTTTTTCTTCACAGTTCTTGAGGCTGGGAAGTCGAAGATCAAGATACTGGTAGATTGAGTGACTGGTAAAGGCTTACCTCCTGGTTCACAGACCAGTCTCATTGCTGAACCCTAACTTAGTAAAAGTAAAGGAGCTCTCTGGGGTCTTTTTATAAGAGTAACAATCCTATCAATGAGGGCTTCATCCCCATGACCTAACAAGACCCACACTTTCTAATACTATCATATTGGGGATTAGGATTTCAACATAGAAACTGCAGAGGGAGAATACATTTAGTCTACAGCATTTGTGTATTACACATTCTAAAAAAAAAAATACAAGCAAACTATTCATGAAACATCAAGAGTACTTTAAGATTAGCATTCCTGAAATAGAACCACTTAATTTTTCCAATTCAGAGCATGCAAATTTACATACATACACACACAAACACACCACTATGTCACATGTATAATTCCTATTAGATTAAATCTGAAACTGAGAATTTGCAATTAAAGTCCTCCATTATTTACTGATTCTATTTAAATGCTAACGATCCAACTCCACTCTTTAAAACAAATATTCTCAAGTTCATTTTCCTCTATTGTCACAAACATCGGGCTTAATTGTGCCAGTGCTAACTTCAATCCATGTTAACTTCAATATGTACTTACTTCCTTATTAAAATCATTGTTTCCTAAAGAACAAATAAGTAAACTCTTAAGTTATAGGATATAGATACATGGAAAACACAGTGCCCAGCCTTATAGTGTTAGGTATTATTATTGTAAACGATATAAAAATATATTTGTTCTATTATATAATTCAAAGCTCCATTTAAAAAATAGTTATGCATCAGTTAATGACCACATATGAAGGCACATGATATTTTATAAAGATATTAAATATTACCATTCTTGTACCTCCTTTAAAAAAATAAAACTTCAATGCTTTCCTTCTTGAACTTGAGACTCTTTTTATGATTGTTCCTGTTTTAATGTAGTTCTTATATTTGATACTGCTTTCCTCCCAATCAAAACACAAACAGTATTTTTCATGCTTGAGTAAAGAAATTTAAATTGTATCTAAAAATAGCAAAGGAGTCTGACACCTTTAATAAACAGAGACTACATCAGACAATGCTATTAGGTTGTTTATGAAAAAGCTCCCTGGCATCATCTTGTGCTGTCATTCCTAATGTCTCCACACTCAAACACAACAAATAGAACAATCTGCTGGCTAGGAGAAATCCTTGTTCTGTAAATATTTTGGTTCAAAGAATATTTAAACAAAATTTAAAACAACCTTCCAATGTGTTCTGTAAAATTAAAGAACTATAGCCAAAAAAAAATATTTTCCTTACATCATAACTAAGAATTTAGAAAAGTCTTACCATTAACTAAATGCAAATGGCTGCATATTCGAATATTATTTAAAGCATGAATATTAGCAAAGGAGATGGGCTGTCAAAACATTTTCCATTTCAAGAAGATTTAAGGCTTAACTAAGATTGAAAGGTTTAGGGGTTCAAGTGCCAGGAGTCAGAGGTTCAAAAACGTGTTTCTGAAAAGCCAGCTGTCTTTTTACAAGACACGTTGGCTGGCTCATCCTTAAATCTAAATCGATCAATTTCTCACTTCCCTCCCATTCCAACAATGTGGGTATAAACCCAGTGATGTGGGTATAAACAAAGGCGTCATAGATATATTTCCTCTCCACTCTGTGGACAACATGAACAATTACAAAGTCTGTGGTTGCCAGGAGTTAAGAGTAAGAGACATGAGGAGGTGATGGTCAAAGGTACAAAGCTTGTTACACAAGATGATTAAGTTCTGAAGGTTTAATGTACAATGTGTGATTATAATTAAAATCCTATACTTAAAATTTACCAAGAATGGATCTCATAAGTGTTTTCATCACACACAAAACCCAGAAACCTTTAGCTGTGAAATGATGACTATGTTAATTAGTTTGTTTGTGGCAATTTTTTTTTTAAGATTTATTTATACATACAGAACCAGAGTACAGGCCAGATGCACGGGAGGGTGAGAGGATTCACAGAGACAAAGTGTGGAACAGAACAGGCAGACTGACAAAATACACGGCTGAGGGGAGCAGGGGGCGAGAGAGGAGAGGTCTGCTCGCCATGTAGGCATCTCCGCGGCTGGCGGGGATGGAACCGGCACTGCAGAGGCTGCAGACAGCTTCACAGTGCTGCGCTCAACTGCCTGCGCCACCAGGGAGGCCCTGTTTGTGGCAATTTTAAAGTGCATATGTATATCAAAACATCAAGTTGTACATGTAAGGTTGAGGCCAGGGCAGAGATGGGGGCGGTGGGGGGAGGGGAGACTTGAAACTGCTGCCACCTGCATCCCAAGAGCCGGCTCTTCCCAGTTTGCACCTGCCCTGATAAGCAGCACTGTAAGAACAACCAGTTCTGAGATTAAAAACATCTTTGAAATACAACTTCAACTCCACATTCTCCACCTCCCTCCAAGGCCAGATCTCACCCTATAAAAGCTTGCCCTTATCCCCCAACAGGCATGAATTATCTGACCACTGCAGGGATCTGCAAACCTCACTCAGGAGCACAATAGATTCCTGCCTGTGAGAAACTTTGCCTGGCTTTCCTTTTCTTTACCATGCTGATCCTTTCAGTACACTTAAATAAATACAATTTTTATTGGTCAATTATATCTCAAAGCTGGGGACAAAAGACTTTCTATAGTGTAAATCCAGATTTTTAAAGCTTCTGTGAAATTTAAAGTAACAGGGTGGTCCCCAGGAAAAGGGGAAGTATCAGGTTTCCTACCCTACCCAAGGGAGCTTGGAGCTGAGCAGGAAGAAGAAGCTAGAGAGGAGACTGGAGAAGGAAGGAAGGAGGATGGAGAGCCAGAAGGAGACCTGGAGGAGGTACATGGAGCAGAGAGACCTGCAAAGAAACTGCACTTACTTCTTGGTCCTGGACTGGTTAAAACAGATGTGGGTGAGAAGCCCATGGTGAAGATTAACAATGGCATCTTTTATCTTTATTTTAATTTCGCTATTTTCCTCCCAGACTTGTCTCACTGTTTCTGATCCTTTTCTATGGGTCCCTGCCAGAAGGTGCTTTAGACTTGTGGCAGGCTTTCAGGCTTTGCTTTGGGCCAATCCTGCTGGGGTGGTCTTTTACACAAGGACAGGAAACTTTGGGTGCTTGATTTGAAAACTATATTCTTTGTATTTTCCTTTGCATACTAATTGTATTAATGTTCCTTTTTCATTAAAGGTCTTATATATTTTATCTTGATGTGGTAGATGGCAATTTTGGGGGCCCGGGGTGCCCCCTCCCTGCCCTGTAACAACACTATGAATGCTGCTAACTGAAGCATCTGTCACCATCAGCTGAGTTGCAATACTACGTAATGCAACAGACACTGGTCCTGTTTCTAAGTCCATGGATTTTCCCCAATAATCACTGTTCTAGTAAGTTTAAAGTCCAGAAGGAGTGCTGACATGTCATTCATTTTTGTTTGAATATATGTAAGATACTAGTAACCATTCTTTCACATGGTGATATATTAAATGTTTGTTATAATTCCACCCAGTTCTCATTTAACTTCTACTTTTAAAGGACACTATAAAATACTACCATATCTCCATTACCTCTTTACATTTACCTTACATTTATTTGTCGGAATCTGCGCTAAAGTATTTTTTTAAAGAATTATTTATTTATTTTCTGCATACAAGAGTTGGATTCACCAGAGAGAGTAGGGAGCAGAACAGGCAGATCTACTGAAATATACTGCTGTGGGGAGCAGCAGGCAAGGCAGGAGAAGTCTGCTGTGCCTTGTGGGTCGCTGGCTCGCTGGCCAGGGATCAAACTTGTGCTGCAGTGGCTGGCCAAAACTTGATAGTGCTGTCTTCAATCCCTGTACCACCAGGGAGGCCCTGTGCTAAGTATTTTTAAACAATTATCTTATTGAAGCCAGATGGCACAGCTATCCACACATTATCATTATCCTCTTATGAATAACAAAGCCTAATCACAGAAGGTTAAATAACTATCCAAAATCATAGTTTGTGAGGGGTATTATACTCAGACCAAGGTCTGTTAGAACCCCAAAAGAACACACTTACCCTTAAAGTACACCAAGTGTCAGTTTACTCCAGGTAACTACTACCTCATCTTGGAAGTACAAGATCTGTACTCAGAGTGACACTGAAAGTCCTAAAGTCAGCACAAGAGAAACAACTATCCACAGAAAGTCATTTAAGTACTAAAAAAACCCTTAAACACTGCTGTACACAATTCCCTAACTCAGATCATTGTTTTGGGTACCAGACAGAGAAGAAAGTATCCTTCAATTCAGT